AAGATAAATCAACTTCTGTATGTGGATAGAAGTAAAAAGTATTCATTTTTTATTATCAGTACAAGTTTTAATTATATTTTTCGTAAAAGTTTGATAGTGCAAATGAAATAGAAACGATAGGATATAAATTAAAAATAAGGATTCATATAAAAAAACTATTTGAGTATAAGACCGGCGGTGAACACAAATATCGAAAATATGAATTTAAATAAAGTACTATTTAGATAGATTCAAGAGCAGAGAGCAAGTACCTAATCGCGTTACGAATACATATTAAAAATAGCTAATGCTTTATAAAAAATATAAAAGTTTATAGATTTTATAAAAAGGTTTAGCTCTGCCGCATATGCCGTAATGAAGATACGTAGGTTAACTGACATAGATACTGCCAGATTAGTACACTTCAGTTACTTTCATAGTGTAATCTTATTGTGGGGAAATGCTGCCGACATACAAACGATTTTTGTGCTTCAGAAAAGAGCAATCAGATCAATTTATAATCTTAGGATTAGGGAGAAATTTAAGGAAATAGACATAATGACTGTTGCTTCTCAACGCATAGACGAGAACTTAATGTACGTTCGTAAGAACATTAGTTTGTTTTCTATAAAAGGTAATGTACTCAATTTTAATACAAGAAATAAAAATAAATTAACGGTGCCTGTCACTAGACTACAAAAAGTTAATAACTCTTACTTAGTTAATTACTCTTACTAAATGACATCGGAATATAATATCTGAGACGAGTATATTCTATCTATTTTGTTTTGTATTTTTATATAAAAAATTTAATCAATAGAATTTCTACACTCAATGACGTGAAATCGGACTCATGAGTGAATTCGAATTCGGGTCTGAATTTTAACAGAATCGCAGGGCTGGAATGGTAATGAGCTCCAATTTCGAATGAGTTAGCCAGGGTTCTGAGAGTATCAGAGGAGAGGAGCTTTTTTAGATAGAACTCTGCTTTCTGAGGTAGGGTTCTGATGTAGAAAAGCTGCCAGGGCATGTCGTTTGTTGTTTTAAAGCTTTGTATATTTTGATATAATATTGTGAATTGTGTTTTTTTTGTATTTGGTTCTTTCTTTGTTATGCTAAACGAAGTCACGCGAAATTGAATTATGCCTAAAGAAATTGTCTTTGAGAATTATTCCGTCAGTTGGTAAAAATGACAACCAAATAATTGGTAGTTTTTGAATTTATGCCGTTAAGAGTGATGCAGCGGGAAAACTTTTTAGGTTTCACAGTATGTTAAAAATAAAATAATGAAAATATTAACTTCCGTCAAGTGTACTCAGGACTACATTTTGTGTTGCAATCATAACCAATGAGTAATAATGGTATAAGATTTATTAGTTGTATCGTTATTTTCAGTACTGTTATAGTAATGAGAGGGAATCAGTGTCGTAGCAGCGGCAGGCGGCAGGCGGCCGCCGCGTACTTAGTTATCATCTAACCGCGGAAACTTTGTCAAAGGCCCTGATATAAGACGTGCAAATTTAAACGAACAATATAAAGTTTGATATTTTAAGAGCGGGGAGCGCCGGAGATGTGGTTGCGGCTCTCTTAATTAGTGTTCGGGGAGGCGCCGCCGCGCCGCCGCCACTAGGCGGGTGCTCTCACCCGATAAGCTTACTTTAAAAACTATATTTCATTAAATAACTCGACCGTAACTTTTATTACTGTTTCAAGTAAAATTTTCTTTCTTTATATGTTTCCACATATAAGTTTATTATATGTATGTTTAAAAATAAATGTAACGTTTCTTGAAAACTTCTTATAAAGTGTTCATAGAGATATTTTCTTACCAATTTTATATGCCTTATTGACACACTATGTTTATAATTTCCAAAGGGTTACTTTGACTCATGTTACTACTGTATGTGTATAGTTTTGTTTTTTTTAATAATAATAATTATTATCGACCTCCGTAGCCGTGTGGCATCCCCTCGATTTCAAGGTGTCCTGGGTTTTATTCCTGGTCGAGTCAAAATAAAACCTTGCGCGACGTCATGAAATTGTCACTTTCTATCAAAAATCTAAACTACTAATAATAAAGCTTAAGACTTTGTTTGTTGTTTGGTTGAACTGTATAATCTCAGGAATCACTGGAATTAATTGAACTATTTTTTTTTTGTAATGAATAGTCCATTTATCGAGAAAGGCTATACTCTATATAACATTACCCTATAACTTATAGGAGTGGAGCAACAATGAAGAATGTTGCAAAAACGGGAGAATATTTTATTTTTTCAAAGCTTTCCTTGCGTGCGCCGCGTAAACGGAGGAAGTTACGCAAAAATCATGTATCACGAAGTTGATCCCTTATAAAAGAACTAAAAAATATTCCGCGATAGCATATGTCTATCTTATATCTTATCCTAAGAAACGCACTTATAGGGATGAAAATGGGAGGGGACGTTCGTATAGGTCATTAAATCGTTACGATAGAAACCATTGCTTACAATTCAATTTGTCATTGTAATTATATTCAATGCCGTCCATTTTCATATCCATTATTAAATGATTTAACCTTTTTACGCAGGATTAATATTCCATACAATCGTTGTCGCTAATATTATATGCATGTGTTATGTTGGTTAAGTACACGAAAATTTTACATTTAGCTGACACTAATGATCACTAGATTTTGATTTTTATATTTTTCTATTTTTATTGATTTATTCATATAATTCCAAATCTTACAGTTCATTGTACATTCAAACACACGTTAACCTGTGGAGAGAAGGAAACATTAACTCCTGGGGATGCTCCGTGCAGAACCGAAGCTATGGCTGCCAACACTTTTTCTGCAAGATATAGTATTTTTAAAAATAAGCTATTAATATATAGTTACACTTCACAAGGTATATCGTACCTGTAGACTTATTAAACTATGGCAACGAACATAAACTAAGGCAAATGCGTTGCGATATACACGCTATAAAATGTAATTAAATTATCTATTATTCATACAAGTTTAGTGAAGGTAGTTTTGAATAATTCAATTTTTTCACCTAAACGGTCGTCAGAACGTCTTTGGACTAAAAAAACGAGCGAAATACTTTAAATAAATAATAATATTTAGGCTGTCTGTCTAAGATGTCACATCAATCAAAAGTTATTGTCTAAATGTATTAGATATTATTGTCTAATATTAATTTATTTATCAATTTTGATATTAGATATTAAAAGATTTGTATACAAATAATGAGCGGTTTCCAAATAAATGTATTACAGAGTAGTTCTGATTTTATTGAATAATTAACAAAGCTATGCAGGTTCTGCGACAACGGATTAGATAATTTTAAAGGAACGATAAGCTTTCTGCTTTAGTAACTCACTGTTCATTTTGAAAGACATGCTTGTCGATCAAGTGACTCGAGCGGTGATTAGTGAGTGTCTCTGGATGACGATGGAAGGGGGTGGCGGGTGGCGGACGGTGGGCGGGGGCCGAGTCAGCACTCTGAGCCCACCTCGAGTGCACTCGTCTCACAACTGACCCCTTTATTCGAGTTATTTTACGCCGCACTCGATATTTTTAAGATGAGGCGGTAAATGTAAGACGAGATATCGCTAACGTTGCAACAGCTGACGTGTTTAAGCTTCAAATGCACTGATATAAAACAAGAACGTACATACGTTTTATTAGACTGAAACTACGACCGAACGGGAAACACAATGAACGAATCCCGTGAGCATTTACAGTTTATAACACTTTAGAATCACCGCGCGGGAAATTTTATTCTGTTTTTAAATTAGTAATACAGGTTATTGTCAGTGGAAGTGTGAAGTGTGTTTTAATAGTGTCTGAGCACGGGCAGGCGGAGCAGGGGGGGGGGGGGGTCTAAATGCGGACGGTTATTACGGAGGCTCCGCGGTGGGCGGAGTACTGGCCTGGAAAATTATTCTGCCGACGGTTGGTCCCGTTGAAACAGCTTCTAAGAAATGAGAAAAATTACCATCGACCAACTGGAGATTCAATGTGGAAATCCGACAATCAATCGTCGGTATTACGGGAACGATAAAGTTTCCGTGTTCTATATATTCGTATAGTTGTCGTGTTGGTAAACATTCACACCATGAACAGCTAAGACACGGTACAGGTATCGACCGGTCCTCGAGCAAAACTAGAATCTACACTATTCGAATGATGCCTCACCGCTAGAATCCAGTACTTGTATTACATAAAGAACTGTCATTATGAGAAGTAATCATTATGAGTAGCTCAGTGGCGTAGTGGATAAGCGCCGTGGCCTGCGATAGTTGTTGTTAAGTTACTTTCGCAATGATTGGTCACGGAATATGTGACCAAAAATACCTCGTCCAAGTTAAGCTGTTGGTCCCGGCTGTGTTTGGCACGCTGGCGAAAGGCAAAATACTCTTTAACTATTCATAAGGAAGGTCTGAGCCCCTGCAGTAGGGACATTAAAGGGCTGATGATGGATGATAAATGAGAAATTATTCTCAATAAATTATCTTTTATATTTACAATTTAATCTAACTAACCAACTAACTTTACACACAAACACGACATAATAATACGATATTTACCGTATAAAACACCTATCTGCAAGTACTTGCGACGTAACCTGACGTAACCTGCCACGAGACGTAGAGAAGAGCCAGTCTAATTCTTATATATATTTTTAATAAAGATGTACACATCTTCTGTGTAATTTCAGTATTAGTATATCTAACATTTATGAAATAAACGTCGTTGTAGTTAATACAAAAATAATTTTAAATAAAATAAACAATGAAGAACATATATGTGCTGTAAAAACCAAATGAAATAAACGAGACAACAAAATTGTGCAATCCGCAAAGGTTTCAAACTTTCATTAAAACGGTATTCGTAGTTGAAATGGCAAAAATGTCCGATGTAAATCCCGCCGGCGCCGTCAGCGAGCCGTGATGGAGTCACGCGCACACCTCCGATCAGATTAGCCCGACCTATTACAAAACTTCAATTTGTCGGACATTCAATTTGCATCGCGATGGGAGCCGGCGCGGTACGTGTGCGCTGCACGGATACTACTCAAGGGATCATGCATAAATCGGCGCTCGACTGAGCTCGTGATCATCCATCTTAGAACGCGAGCGTTCCTCCAAGCATTCCATGCCTCGAATATTCCTTTTTGGTGCGATTTATTAAATAAAACAGCACTTAGTTGAACCTTTACGAAACAATGTGCTCGCTTGAATATCTTGTAATTTTATTTAACGAAGAAAAAACACTTTATTCAGCACCGCACTATCTATGTGTACCCAGTGCAGGTGGATGTTAGCAACTGCAGACGTAGCTGGGCCCGACGGCCTAATGTGCCTTCTGAAGCACGAGCCTTTGGTCGTCGGCCTTCAAGGAAGGATGATTAACCTGCGCCATCGAGTTCTTCGGACATTTTTAATTTTCATACATATTTATCATAGCATTTTCTAAAACATCAATACCATAACGGATTTGAAATTTACTCACTATTTATTAAAAGGCGATATTGCCTGTGGTCTATAGAGTAGCGAATAATAAATCACTACATAGTATCTGTAGGCAATAATTCAATAATTTCCGTAAATGAAGTATGAATAAAAGATATGAAAGCGCAGTTGGTTTTCAACAGTGAGTGCACACAACCATAAATTCTTGTTGTTGCGGGGCCGGCAGGGGGCGCTGCGGACGCGCCACGTCGCAGCTTGATTTATCTTCGAGGTCTATTTTTATTCCACGCTTGCCAATTGTTGTTTTCTCCCTCAGTATTTCGCTCTATTACCCAGTAACAGATATTTTCATTTAAGTTATTTAAAAAAAGTGTGTTATTGTAACTTTCATATACTTGCATATTGTTTCTATGAAAACAGTAAATGTTCCCACTGCTGACATGTAACACGGTGCGTCTCATATTAATATAAACAATTTCACAAACTCTCCTCATCAGTCCGCCGGTGACTGCAGCTGGGACTATGCGCTTCCATATTTTATTTGTTGTACCTATCGTAATGTTCTACACGTTACACACTGTACGTGCTACAATGTGGGAGACCGAGGCTCATGAGTACATTGTGGCCAAATATTTTCTTAAACGACAGGTAAGTTTGTTTATGTAGCTTTGCGAACCGGTAGCGTAGCATTTCGACATTCACGAGGACTTGTAACTGCCTAGACTGATTTAAAGTTTGAGTTTCAATATTATACATTAATATCAGTTATATCTTTAGTGAGATTAGTCAGATTAAGATCAGAAAATAATTTTTTTAAGATTTGTTTATTTTAGTACATGCCGATGTCAAACTTAGGAGCGATCTTACTGAAAGACGACGTCTTAATCAACCCTGCAAGAAGAATAAAAAGATACCTGGTGTACTTCCATAAAGCCCAGAAATTATTCTCGCGCTCGCGGGCGAATACCGGGCAGCCGAATGTGAAAATAGAGTGGGTATTTTTGTAGCGAAAGCGAAAGCTGTAGGTATTTAGAAGAAAAAATCACAATGGTTTTTATTCTGTTTCTTGTCAGCAGCAGTAAGAAGATTCTAAGCGGGTGCAGCGTTCGTAATTGTCATTTCGTGGGAGATCCCAAGCGACTCCCACAGGCAGATGTAGTGGTCGTTAGCGTAGACCGGAACGGTGACGTGCCCGCCGCGACCGCGCGCGCCGCAAACCAGCGATGGGTGTTCCTCGCACTAGGCTCTCCGTTGGCAATCAACACCAGCAAAATCGGCGAATGGGCTAATTTATTTAACTGGTCTATGACGTACAGGTAATAATTACAGATGCAAACAAATAAATCCAGCTCAACACGAAATCAAGCGTCATAATTTTTTTCTCATTTAAAATGTTCTATTCCTCAGACTCGGCGTGTTGGATTGTACGAGTCACATTACTTTTTTTATTGTAGTAACTAATGAAACTGGCCTTTTCGTACATGAAAATGTTGGTATTCCCCTTTTACATGAATATGTGTTACAGAAGCGACTCCGAGGTCCCGATCCCGTACGGGCGCACCCTGGCGTTCGTTACACCCGCCCCCGGTAACGTGTCGGTGCCGCAGCTGGTGCCACACTGGCGGGTGAAGCGGCGCGACGTGCTCGCCGCCGCGCTGCTCTCCAACTGCCGCGTACGACGAAGAATGAATTATTTGAACACCCTGAAACGTTACATACGGGTGCACTATTATGGAAGTTGTTTCTACCGCCACCCGAAGAAAGAGTAAGTGCTTGTTCACTTACAAAACGCACTTGCGAGTTGCGATGAAAACGGCCGAGCTGCAGCGATCTCAGTCTCTCGCGATTTCTACTAAAACCTGTAGACAACCTCTAGACACGAAATTCGCCATGTAGATGCTTTACTATGACTACAACGCGTTGTGAGCAATTTTTTGGTCAATGAGCGGTTTCGGTCTTTGAGCGTAACAGATATATTCAATTTAAAAGTATTTTAAAATTCTAGGAAATCAAGACGGAGACTTGATATCTTTAGTTAATTTTAGATATATGTTTAGTAATTTAATTAAAAGTGTACTATTTTACTGTCGTAGATGTCCCAGAATAGGGGAGTGTGGTTCGATTAAACGTTATCTATTCTACTTGGCATTTGAGAATGCTGAATGTCAGCAGTACATAACCGAGAGGGTGTTCCAGCACGCGCTGGTGGACGGCGCGATACCGGTGATAATGGGCGCCTCGTATGAACAGTGCGCGACACTGTTGCCGCCGCAATCGTTTTTGCATGTAGATAATTACCCTACCATCAAACATTTGGCTATGCATATAAAGAAAATTGCCAGCGACAACGACGTTTTGTTAAGGTAATGATCTGTAGTTGAATTAGCACGCCGAACCTCACGTCGAAGCGATATCATCATCGTGAACCTTATATCTTAACATTATATGATCATTTTCAGCTTCCACATGTGGCGGCGTCACTTCCGTGTAGCGAACGAGACGGCGTGGGTCGGCGCGGCTGACTCGCGGCTGTGTCGGCTCTGTGAAGCGATCAACTATAACAATCTTCAGCACAAGGTCTACGACGAGGACTACCTCAGACATTTCCTGGACCCCAAGAGGAACTGCAGGAACTGATCAAACAATAGTGATGGCTATGGTCGTTTTTATATTGAATTATTTAATTTTTAAGATGGATATGGATCATAACTTTTATAAACACGATCTTCTGTCTATGTCTAGTTATATTTGACATGTCTGTGGGCTGGATAATTATCACTAATCGCTGCCTCAATTATACAATCAGCCGGCCGCGCTACCACCGCACGATGGTCGACGTACATTCCAGGAAACAGGCGGCATGTGGGTACATGAGCGATTGACGTTTACCTGGAAACCAGCCCATTATTTTAACTCTACGTGATTTACAAAACGCATTGTGTCGTGACTTTAACATAAGCTTGTCATTTCCAATAGCAGTAATAACAGTCATATTTAAATATATTTTTTTTTCAAGAGTATATATTTTTACATTAATTATTTTAAATATTCAGTTTGTCTAAAAACAAAAAATCAGTAAAATGTTTTGTGACGTCTAAAGATTATTATTTGAAAACAAAAATTACACGTTATAACAGTCACGCGTACTGTACCTATGTATATTACCATGTAAATGACACGACGCAAATCTAATGGCCGTTTCTGAATTGAGAAGAGTACAAAATCTCAACTGATTATTCTTCGACTTCGCCTGCGTAAATTATGATGTAGCTTATGTTTATGATGTACACGTGCATGATGTAGCTTCCCTACCGTTGGGGAAATAATTTTTAAAACAGGTGTAGTAGTTTCGAAGCATATTTAATGCAAACAATGAAACAATAAATCAGTATCTGATAGAACCACCAAACAAGAAATATTGAAAAAAGGTTGTTAGATGAATGTTGCATCCAATATAAATGTTCGTTGGAGAATTTTTATTGAGTTTGAATTGTCATTTCGATTTGAGTTTTTAAAACTTTCTATCAGATGTTTTTATTAGTATTTCTATGGGTGCCGTAGTGTGACGCAGGGCGGGGGTGGGGAGTGGGGAGAGGGGGTTGCGACGTCTCCACGCAGTACCGGTGATTGTATATTAACTATATCTGATAGTGAGTCCGTACCGTACTGCAGTTTGGTCGACAAATAAAACCCGTCGCAATTGCTTTAGCATGCTAAAGAATCCGTAAATTATATTTATTATTTCTCCAGAATAAAAGTTTCCATGTTCATTGACTAGTATAGTTTTATACGAGTACATAAGTTAGGTAAGAAGTATTATATAAAATAGATCAGGGCTTCCCAAACTTATTTGTACTGTGACTCCCTTGGGTCTTTGCCATTTTTTTACGACGCCCCTCAACGCAGTCCCCAATAATACTAATCAGTTTTTGTACGTACTAACCTAGTAACAGGTTATCAGGAAGACACGAATTTGACTTTTATATTTTTTTATTAATGAATGAAAACAAATTCAAAACATAAGTCATGAGCATAAAAAAAAGAGATGTAACTAACTGGCTGGCTCTAATGAGATGGATGTGCTTGCTTTTCTGATCATAGTTTCTTAAAACGGGGCTCCAGTTAAGTAAGCCCAGTCGTATTGCTCCAGATTATCGAAAAAATATTTTTCAAAGTGTTCGCTTAGTGAGAGCAAGTGCTGTGTAAATATTATTTTTAAGGAAGAATCAGGGATTTTTATCGATTATTCTAGTAAAATACTTTGTAAAGCAGGAAAACAGTTAATTACTTGATCTTCTAATTTTCTCTTCCATAAGTGTAACTTCTTCTGAAACCCAGTAATTTTATCTGCCAATTGCAGGGTGTGAGTATTGTTTCCCTGCAAACACTTATTAAGATCATTTAATTTGTTAAATATGTCACACATGTCCGCGTTCGTGTCGCGTTGACAATATGCATGCGGCGATCACTTGACTCAGTCGCATCGATATATCAACACGCGACGCCCCTGGGACATTGCCGCGACGCACAGTTAGGGAAGCCCTGAAATAGATAATAAAAAGTCGAGTCAATCAACTAATAATATTTGTAAGCTAAATTTATTTATTTATTTAGGAAAACAAACAGTCGTTTACAATTTAAATACAAACAAAACTTATTTAACCAATAGACTTGACAGTTCCATTACTAAATACGTGTACTAACAAAATTTATCTAATTGCTAACTATTAACAATGGTGATGGTATCGAATTAACTTAACCTACACATCGAACAAACAGCTTCTCCACAATAATCTCAAAAACTCACGCTGATTATTCATTTTAAATATAAATATATATGTCGGAAAGTCAAGCGGGACCGGCTGAGAGTTAGGTTGGTCATCATCCGCCATCTGACTAGTGTTCGATATATTCCTTCGAAATAAGATCGCAGATAGATCACAAATCAGTTATTTAATTGAATTACTTAATTATCTAATCGGAGTACATTAATAATAACGCGATGCAAACGGATTGCGATACGAAACGCGGAGAGTTCTGCGCTTGCGTCCGCTCAATATGGCCGCATAACGTAAAGTGCCATCTTCGAACAAGCATAGACCACTCCCAAGCGATGACAGCCGTCAATGTTATAACTTGACGTTTCGCAAAGCACCATAGATCTTGACAGAAATCATCGCCATCGTTCATTAATTTCATCTTCATTTTACATGTAAAAAAATTATTTATTTACTTGACATTGGCAAAATTGTGCGAAATGCGCAGATAAGCCATTAATTAAAAAAGAAGAAGAAGAAGAAGATCTTGACAGATGACAGCTATATATATTATAGTCCGACTTTTATAGAAACACCTTTTATAGGTACCGTAGGTAATACTCGACAAGAAGTCCACAGCGAAATCATCCTTGCCCTCTTAATGATTCATTAAGTTTGTGTGTATCTAAAAACGATTTTCCGTTCGATTAAAAAAGGTTTTCAAATAAAGTAGACTATAGGTAGGTACTAAATGGTTCTCGAGTGCACGACTAAACTAATAATTCGAATATATATTATTTGAATTAATAATAATAGTCCGTAATGTAACACAGTCCGTTCTCGCTCGATCGTAACAACTTTCTACTATTACTCGTACATTGTTTCGCTAAGTGTTATTTAACGAAGGATTGTTTCAATATTTCGACGGCCGCATCGAACAGAGAAAAGTCAAAGAAAAAGTCAACTTTACAGGATTTTTTTTTATATCTCAAAGGCCTTACTAAATATGAATCTTTTGATAGAAGATTTGATAATTGAAAAACATTATAAGAAAATCATAAAACGGCGAAACACTATTTTAATTTTAACCGACTTAAAAAAAGGAGGAGGTTCTCTTCAATTTTTTTTTCTGTTTCACACCGGAAGCATCAGCTTTCAAATAAAAAAAGAATCATCAAAATCGGTCCACACAGTAAAACGTTATGAGGCAATAAAAGGAATAAAAATACAGTCGAATTGATAACCTCCTCCTTTTTTGAAGTCGGTTAAAAAATAAAACCGACTTCAAACTTAAAAAGTAAAAAATAATACTTATCTCAAAAGCGGCTTATGCAAGATAATTCTATTGGAGTCGGGCGCCTTTAAATTAATTAATAGCCTACAGAAAACCTCCGCCGGACTTCAATAGCATTGTCTTGAATAAGTTGCTCTTAAAATAAGTATCATATATCACTTTTTTAAAGTTTGTAGTCGGTTCAATTTTTTAAAAGTTTTTATAAAATAATCTGGTCCATTTTGGTATTTTATCAGTCCCATTTTGTATATTGTTATTATGGTAAGTTATTATTGTTGACTTTCGACAGTCAATTACAAAATAATAATAATTAATGCAAATCTTAGAAATCCTTGGGAATAAATAAAAATATCTAATGCAATTTAATTGTAATCGAGAATCTTTGAATTCTAGTTAATTCGTTTACACTAAGTTAACTTTAAGAGAATATTTTAATTTTGAAAAACAAATGAAAATTCCGTTGGAAAAATTGAAATCACTAACTAGGTTCGGAATTGAAAACGATTTTGAGAAATGGTTATGAGTGAGCACGCCCCGGGGCGGCCTCCGGCGGCGCGCCGGGCGCAGCCAGCGGCCACGTGTCCACAGAGTGCAGGCCCCTGCGAGGGCGCGTGCACCGACCGACGGACGGGTCCCTGCCACTGGCCGCCCCCTGACACCCATGTATCGGATCATTGCCCATTAATTAAACTTCGCTATTTATTTCAGCTTTTACCATCGTCCGGATGTTCTGTAAAATTTAATAAAGAAAAATTTTAAGTACAGACATTATTTGACACAAAGATGCAGAAGATGGGTATATAAATGTTGAAATTCTTTTACTTATGCGATTTTTTTTTCATATTTAATTATTAAGACAAGTTATTGTATTTTTAAGGTTCATTATACAAATATAAAGAATTATTATTGAAATGTTTATTTTTGCTCGTTTCCGATATGGAACTTTCGTGCGCGAGTCCGTCTCGTATTTGGTCGATTTTTTACATACGTTTTCATTCGCCTTCTGTACCGTCATTACTCCTTTGATACACACTCGCTGGTTTTTATGGCTTCTGACATTATCTTCCACATTACGCGATCGATTTGATTCTGAAAGGTGTGTCTCAGCCTTCACATCCTTCTATTCTCATGTTGTATACATGTTCCGAAACTACGGAGTATGTTTCTGTTGACTATTATACCGACGCTATCATTCAAGGTATTTTATTTGGTTCAGTCGATGGGAAAACCGTTCGTTTTGGAGAGACTTGTAAGATGATGTCGTCTTAATAGGTTTTGGAAAGGCTTTGAGGAATTTTACAGTGCGCTCGGCAAAGTTTTAATTGGTGTTGAGTTCACAAATATAATCGATTTCGGTCTTCTTTTATACACAATCAATGTTCTGCAAATATATTAAGGGTTATCTATCACTTAATAAACTGTTAAGGCTACTTGGTGGGTACGATTCGAAACAAGCGTTACATGAAGGTGTGTCAAACTATTACTATTTGTCTGTATATGTATTATACTTTAGCTACAGAGATATCAATTAAAATTTCTCTATATAAAAATAATATAAATGGTTCGATGACTTTATTTTGATAGTC